TCCGACCCATCTAGCATTAGGGAGTTCAGATTGCAATGTGAGCATTCTGAGTGAGGATTTGTGTGTGCACTTTAGTCTCCTTTGTATTCTTTGTGGGAAATTAATATAAAGGTTGGGCATTGCCCGTAAACGTGCTTGTGTGTTTGTTTTCCGCTGCATACTCTTGCTATTGTTTACGTGGCTTAAAAGACTTGTGTTTGTGTGCGTTTGTGCGAAGAGAATCAAGAGGAAGGCTGACTGATTTGGTAGACAAATCAGGCCGCACGGGCGAAAATTTCTTGAGTAAAGAAACCCCTGTGACAATATCTATGGTGTAAAATTGTGCGGTGTATTTCATCAGATAAAACATTTAAATTTAATTATATTATAACAATAATTAAATTAAAAAAAAAATGATTAACAAAAAAAAAATCTAAAATAGGTGTTTGCCAAACGACTCCCAACTGTAATTTGAAACAATGAGCATTCCCGCTTCGACATCCACCCCTTTTACGCGTTCTTCACCACCACCACCACCATCGCCGCCTCAGCCACCTCTTTTCTCCCAATCCGCCGCAAACACTAATCCTTCAGACCATCGCCGCCGCTTCTCCTTCAAGAGCTCCCAAAACAACAACTCCAACAGTCCAGTCGAAGTCGCCACCGCCTCGTGGACTTCATCCATTGCCCACCACTGCAGAAACGGCCGTTTATCCGAAGCAGTCCTGCAATTCACCCGCATGCGGGATTCCGGGGTTGAGCCTAACCACATAACCTTCGTCACTCTCTTCTCTGGATGCGCCCATTTTCCGTCCAAGGGTTTGTCACTCGGCCCTTCCATTCATGGATATGCACGAAAAATCGGGCTCGATGTTAACAATGTGATGGTGGGGACGGCAGTAATCGAAATGTACTCGAAGTTTGGTAAAATGGAATTAGCAAGACTGAGTTTTGATCATATGGGATTCAGGAACAGAGTTTCTTGGAATACTATAATCAACGGATACATGAGAAATGGGGATTTTGAGGTAGCAGTCAACCTGTTCGATAAAATGCCCGAAAGAGATGCCGTGTCTTGGACTGTGTTGATTGATGGTTTTGTGAAGAAAGGAAAGTTCGAGGAGGCACTGGAATGGTTTCAAGAAATGCAGTTGTCTGGAACGCCTCCCGATTTTGTGACGATTGTATCGGTTCTCTCTGCCGTTGCTAATTTGGGAACACTGAGTTTAGGCCTTTGGCTGCATCGCTTTGTGTTGATGCATAACTTTAGGGATAATACACGTGTTGACAATTCGTTGATTGATATGTACTGTAGGTGTGGATGTGTTGAATTAGCTTCCGAAGTATTTCGAAAAATGCCGAAGCGAAACTTAGTCTCGTGGAACTCGATAATAGTAGGATTAGCTTGTAATGCACACACAGAGGAAGCTTTGGAATATTTTCATTCGATGCAAAAAGATGGATTTGACCCCGACAGCGTGAGAAGCTTTGTAGGCGCGAGCAAACAGTGCGATGCTGACTGCCGTCTCCCCACTTCTTTCGACTTTTTTTT